TTGCCTGACTGCGTGGTGTCAGGAATCGGAATGAGGATATAGAAATGCTTATATTCAAAGGATGTAATTCATTCAAACTATAAAAAATGAATTATATTTTAATAATTTCAGGTTCTGTACCTACCGCAGAGCTTTCACTGCAAGTCTGTTTTTTTAATTTCAGCTGAATTTCTTTTTATTGTGTGAGAATTTCTTTGTAAAATAGGAAAACAGATGATACAGAAATCTATAAAGTAAAAACACAGGACTGTATTTTTTCCGTTCAGGCTCAATTTATAATAATCACTGAAATGTAATTGTAGCAAAGAGCACAAAGATGTCTAATGATATTTCTCCTTCAATTTATTACTCTACAAAAATAATTAAATTGAGATAAAGAAGGTTGAGAACATACTGTGATAGTGAAACACACTTGAAGCATCAAGAGAAACTGAAGTTATCTGACCAATACTGATTTGAGGAAAAATTCAATAGCATTTTTTAAAATTTATCACTGGAAACAGACAGGTAATAACATTTTCTTTTTACGTCTGTTCTTGTAATGCATGTACTCTATATGCACTCAGTGAAATGTGTAGTTTATCTCTCAGAAGAAAGGTCGTAGAATAATGCACGCTCTCTAGTTGTCTGTTATTCTGTGTATAATTTGTTAAATCAAAAGTATTTTCTGGAGCTGCTGTTCATGTCATTCTCTCCTCTCCTCCCAGCAATTTTGGCAAACCCACATATCACACCTGATGATTCAGAGATAAGTTCTTCTTGTACTTTTGTTTATTATAATCTAAAAAATAAGGTTAGCATTCTTTCCATGGCGGGTGCATGTTGCCTTCCACTTTTCTGTGGTCCTGATGGCCATAGCTGCCTTACAGCGGTTCCTTCCACCTTCTGCCCTTTTCCTCTTGACCTGTACTCTCCACCTTCTTCACATCCTTCTTCTTTAACACTCACTGAGTATGAGTCAATTTTGATTTTCCTATTAGTCAGTTATGTCTGGGTTTTTTTTGTTTTTTGTTTTTTTTTTCAGATTCCACCCTCCCCAAAACAAACCCCAAACCCTGTGTTTAATTTTGCTTCTTGAATTTCACGAGTGTTCTATGAAGTAGAAAAAGTAGAAGGTAATTACAGAGTCAGATTCTTCTCTCCTGTTGGTGTAAGACAAATAAATTCGGTGATACTGCAGCAGAATATGTGAAGTGGGAGTGGAATTTGGCTGCTATAAAGATAGAAGGTTTTAAGACAGAAGCTGATTGTCCTTAGCTATAAGTTGGAGGTATTTTGTTTGAACAATGGGAGAGGGAAGGGTAAGTTAGTATATTCTGTATTTTTTTAATACTACATTGAAACTTTGCTAAAGAATGCTGTATTCTCTCGTTTTAAAAGAGCTTAATGGCAATTGGTAACTAAAACACTTTCTTCAGAGGAAACAAACATATGTCTAAAACATTCAGAATTCTGATGACTAGCACATACATCGATGTTGAAAAAGAACTATTATACGTGCGTTGCAATATGAGATATGTAACAGTTAAGGGAGCAGAAAAATTCTTCCTTATGCCCAGGTAAATCAATATAGCATGTGGAATGCATTATTTCATTTAAAAAGAAAAAGAAAAAAAGAAGTGGTGGTAGGGAAGAGAAGGCTTTTAAGTATATGTGTTGTGGGGGATTGTGCCTGTCAGTCCAGTTCAGAGATACTCTTACAAAAACCGCCTCCATATAAATATAAAATAGATGCTAATGTTGAACTCCACTTTTGTTGCATATGGACATATAATAATTACGTACATATTTATATTGTACATGTGTGTATTTAGGTAACAATGAAGGAAGAGAGGTGTATCGATCTAATATGTATCAGGACGCATACATTTTTAATCTAATATATTTAGAAATCACCAAAGTGATTCCTATTCTCCTTGGTATTAATGAAGTACTTCTGACCATGTAGCAGTGCCTTGTAATCTGTAAAAATTGTTGCCAACTTGAAACTAGCTATTTTTGATGTATTTACATTTGTATTTCGCTGGTTTGTGATGTACTAGCGTGTTAAGGTGTGCGTCTTGAATATTCTAAGAGATACTGGGAGTCTACTCAGCTTTTTTTTTACTGTGGGCTAACCTCATTTTACAATGCAAAATTGAATGGAAATGCATTTTGAAGTTAAAAGACAACATAATCAGATACCAGCTAATACTTAAGGGACAGAGAATGTGTGGAAAATGGTGGTGGTTGGTTGTGTTTCTGAGATGTATTTGCTGGAATTAATATTTTCAGAGTCCTATACAATTCTGCTTGCCTTAGGCGGAGTGGTGTGAAATGTAATTGAACTAATGACTCACTGGGGTGAGATCATTTTTAAGAATGTAGTGGGCTTCTTATTGTACAATACTATGGCATATATTTGCCCTTTTTTCTCCAGTGATGCTGCCTATTTTTGCATTCTGTTTTAGTCTGTCTGTCAAGCACCCACGACACACCTTCATATCCCTCCTAAAATCCTCTCTGTATCGGTAGGATATACAGTGTTCCTTCACTAGTTACTCTTTTATTTTGTCTTGTTTGTGTTAAATCTGTCGTCTTTGTGGTACAGATCATGTATGATTCTGTTTTATAATGACTCCTATGTGTATATGGGATTGCAGATATTCTTACTTGTATTACTCTCTGCTCTATGCAGGATTTTCTTCTGCATACCTCAAAGTGTACTCCAACACAGTCTAAGTCCTTTTTAATTTGTTTTCTTTATTTAATGAAGGGAAGAACAGTACATGTAAAAATGAACTTGCTTATATTGTTAAGGGCAATCAATGACTGTGATGAACATAGCCTTTAAAACCTGACTTAATCTCTCTGACTAATTCCTAAGCTACATTTTCTCTTTGTTATGAAGTACAGCTTCATTGAATCTGACTTTCTAATGAATGAGCTTTTAACATTAAATGTGTAGTTCTTGAGCATTTATTTAATTTTAAGAAGTAAAGTCATGTTGTCAAGAAACCTTTCAAGTCTGAATGCTTTTCTTAAATGCGTATTTCAGATAAGGACGTGATGTAAGCTTATTCATGTGTTGTGGTCACTATGATTTCTGTTGTTCTTCTTTTTAAATAAATGAAAGTATTTTTAACTGATTTAAGAATGCTTTATTGGAAGATAAATAATCAGTGAAATCATGCCATTAACCCTAGAGATCCCACTTTCTCCTCCTCCTAGTGTTCAAAATACAGAGGATAGCTAGGCAGAGAAAGGAAGAACTGTTACAAAAAAGAAAAAACAGTAGTTCCTGATTAGGATTTTTTGGTCACATTTCTCTTCAGAAGAGCTTATTCCTGAAAGAATGTTTTTGAAGTGATAAATTTGGTGCATATGGGATTTAAAAAAAAAAAAAAAGCTTCTTGCATAAAAGTACAGTTCAATGCAGATGTCATTGGGCTAGCTTTTAGAAAAAAGCCAGTGAAATTGTGTTTGAATATATGTTACACAGTAATTTTAGAGAACAAATTATTATCAGTTAGATAATAAAACTCCTAGGCAGAATTTGGTTTACTGTAAGTGGCTGGTCTTTGTGGAATACGAAGCTGTAGTATTATTTTTTTGAGTCTTTTTTTTCTTTTTTTTAACCACACAAACAGTTTTGGTGATACACATATGATTGATAGTTTAATAATGTACTGAAAAATAGGTTTTTGCTCTTTAAACCCACTATTTTTTATATGCAACTTCAGAAATCCTCATTTTTAATGTAATATTTTAGTCAAACTAGCTCTCAAGGATATGTTCTGCTTTTTTTTATAGAAGCCAATACTTATCGAGAATTAGCCTTTTAATTATACTGGTAGCTGGTGACGCACTGTGCAGTTTATATAACAAGACAAGCGAAATCATGCTAATTGATTTTGCAGTTTTTTGTTTTGTTCCCCCCTCCCCCCCATGACTGGTAACTAAGTCAATGAATGTAGCCACTGTTCATTGAAATCATGCATTTTTTAAGCATCGGATAGTGCAAACCACTTAGCAAACTTTTGTTTGGATAAATACCTTAATTCTTGCTTACAGTGCTATGGATAATGATGTTTTCTTAAGGCTTTTTGGTTCTTCATTGCAGGTATAAGATGAAATAGAAAAAGAGGTTGTAGAATGACGGTATACCATGGCTGTCCAGGAAATACAGAAATAGGGTAGCTGGCACTATTGACGATTGGGTTGTGACAAAGCAGTTGCATGGCTATAACTGAAGAGCATTGAAGGAGAAGTGAAGTAAAAATAATAAAAAAGTTATTGCGGGCAAGAAAATTATCTTCTGCTTCAGCTGTGGCACTTGACAGCTGTATCTGTCTATGTAGATAGATGGTATGAATGAAAAATCTCTGTATAAAAGGTTCCCATGTCACACTAGAAGTCTATCTAAACCCCTTCAGTGTGAAAATCTAAGCCTTTGCACAGGAATGGCTTTGGTGGTTGGTTGTCTTTTATCATCAAGCCCAGTAACTTTCTTGTCTGTGGTTTTTGCCTTCATTTAGCCTGTCTTTCTCCCTCTTACCCCCTCCACCCCTCCTTTGTAATTATTCAAAGTTGTGTATTTTCTGTGTAGAAACTGTGGATCTGAGATTGTATACACAAGACTTTTTACTTTTCTTAAAAGTACTGGCAATTTTTGGACCAACTTGAATTTTTTTTCCCTTATCAAAATAAACTGATTCTGAACCATTAATTGAAGGTCATCACAGAAATGGCTTTGTCTACACATGCATGGTAATACTTACTTCAAATGGAGAAATTTGAAGTAAGTAGGTATCTAAATATGAGGTCAAAATGTGTCCAAGTTGTAGCTGTACAGCATTCAGAATATCTCCAATCAATACTCTTTATAAGTTAAATTTAAAAATACTGTATCATGCAAAATGTTGACTTTGTGCTGTAGAAAAGTATTCCCAAGTGGAATTTTTGTTTAAAAATTCTTTTATATTTACAGAGAAACTGAGCCATACAAATATTTTTAAAAGTTTGCACTTCTTTAAGGCTATTTATTTTCTAAAAAAGAGGACTTGAATATTTTTGACAAATATACACATGGTGTTACGCTAACAAACGGCCATGCAACATATATCTTACATAATGAAGAAATTGAATATACAAGACCTACTCTATTTAACATATATATTGAAAATTTACAGTCTCGCCAATAGGTAAAAAAAGTTTTTCTTATTTGGCAGTATTTTTCTACAATTTGTTCAAATATTCCACTTGATGTGTTTTGGTGAATACTGAAATCTAGTCAGTGACAACCTGAGGTACTAAACATTTCTGCCTTACTTCGTGGTCTTCAAAGGTAATCTTTTTGTTCCTTTTAGGCTCTATCCATGAGTTGTGTATTACAGCGTTATTTGGCATGGGATCTGCTTCCACTATTGAAACAACTCGCTTTTTCATCTTACTTTTCAGAACTTTCTGAAACTTTTGCCTTGTGAATGCATAAAGTAGAGGGTGAAATATAGTTGTTCCATATGCCATTACTAGAAAGCATAACCGCAACTTTACCAAAAGGTCACTTGGGCCCAAACATAAGATGGTGGTGTTTAAAACAGAGATGGGTGTCCAGCAGAGAAGGAATGTTGAGATAATCAAGAGGGACATTCTGAAGACTCTCTTTTGCCGTTCTCGTCTCTCTCGGTGCCGTTTTACAGCTCGGCGTAGAGCAATTATGACAGACACAGAAGTCCTTACGCCAAATACGACATTTCTTCCTCCGCTGCTGTGGGACACATCTGTAGTGTCATGCTGAGTGGTCAAAGAAATAGTTTTTTTCTTTCTAGCTTTCTTTTTTTGTCCTGTTGTAAATCTTGTACCAATCCGAATATTTAGAGCCTGGAGTATTTTGGTGTATGTAATTAGCATTACTATAACAGTGAAGAAAAAGATTGGAATCTGAACGAGAAGGTGGTAGTACATTCCTAGCTCAGTGTGGTACTCGTTTGTACTCACGCACAAAAGGGTCTTATTTTCCCAAGTACTTGCGCTTCGAAGACTGAAAAAGTTGACTTCAATGAAAGGAATCAGGAAGGAAAAAAGTGAAATGATCCATATTGATGTCATTAATATCACAGCCCTTCCCATGGTCAGAATTCGATTGGCCGGTTTTACAGAGATGTCGTATCGGTCCAGAGTGATAGCAAAGACGTTGATTGCAGTTGAAACGCTTGCAAAAGAGACACAAGCCTCGTGGAAGCAGCAGATGAGAGCAGTGTTACTCTCCAGTGAAAGCAGAAGGATAACTATAGTTAGAGGAATACATCCCACACAAATTATTACATCAAGTACATGAAGGTTCATTGTAATTATGTTACTGACAGAATTGATTAAGTTGGATTTCATACAGTAAAGTACCAGTACGGTGAGGTTGCTGCCAAGTCCCAAAACAATTTCTAACATCAAAAATCCAGTGAGAGAAACTTGAAAGCTTAATGGGTATGACAGTGGTCTGTACATGTTGGTGTCGATGTCATCAATGGCATCTCGGACTGTAATGTTAGCTTCAGACTGCATGTTGACTTCCAGAATGGGGGAGAAACACATTCTTTTGTTGCAGTTGTTTTTTCTCCTGAAAGGTGAAATAAAATATGGAACTATTTGGTTTCTTTTTTTAAGACTTATTGTAGATAAATGCTGGGGAAGGAGGAGGGAGGAAAAGCATCTATTCTTATTGAACTCTTGGTTTGTATATTTAGAGCTTTAGTTGTTATGGACTCAAAAGCCTGAGGATATAGAATAAGGGCTTTCCTTTTTAAAGGAAAGCAGGATTTGTTTAAAAAAAAAAAAAAGAAAAAAAAGTGAAAAGCTTCCACTTAGGGAAACAAGGCTTTATTTATAGTGATGTAGTTTTTACAAAGGGCCCATTTGTTGAATAAACTATACTTGTGCATTGCCTTTGTATTGCATTGAGGGTCATTTTAAAAGAATGTTGTTAAGTATTAACAAATTAGTCCTCCAGATCATTTAAAAAAGGCTCTTGTGGAAAAAAAAAGTGATAGGAACATGGAGCACTGTTGCTTATGTATCATAAAAAGAACATTTAAATTATTTATGGCAATTTAGCAGCTTCTTTCTTATGCAGAGGTTGCAATATTATTGTGGGCTGAAACTTGAAGTTCTGTAATTCAGCAAACTTTTACAGAGCTTGAAGACTTCTGTTCACTTTTATCTTGTTTGTGTCTACATGTATGAAACCACTACAACAATTTTATATAAATATGTATAATTTCAAATGCAAAACTTATGTGGGTTTGGGGGAACGGAATTTGTGATAAAAATACTACATTTCCTTTTTCTGATTTGAATATTCAGTTTCTTCAAGAAATCAGTGCCTACATGAAATGGAAGAGTATTTAATTTTACTCCAGAATAGATTTGAGGGTATAGTTTTAGAAAATAATACATTAAAAGAAAATTGTCTCTTTCAGTTTTTTGTGGTTTTTTTGTGGTTTTTTGTTTTGTTTTGTTTTTTAAATACGAACTCCAATTAAATCCAACAGATTTATATACATAGCATGTTTGTCTTAGGAACATGTGAGGTTCAAAAAAAGTAGCATTTATTACCTCTAGGATATTTTTTATTTTATGGCTTATCTGCTTTGTTTTACACGTGCCGATAGGTTGTAAATGTAGCATCTGCATGTAATACCTGGCATTTGTATTATTTATATTGTCAGCTAGCTCTTGAGCTTGTAATGAAATGAATAAATAAGAGAGAGGTTATTCAATTTCTTGTTATGATACTTGGGGGTTGGTATTTTTTTTTTTTAGGTAGCTTTACATTTAAGAGAGGACATGGCATGAAAATAAATTTAAATGCAGACCTTTGTTCCATTCTGAATACATTAAAAATGGATAGCACTAAGGTGAACAAAAATGAGCTCTTTATTAATGAAAGTATGAATTAAGCATACTTGGGATACAATGTGCAAATGGATTTCATCTGCAGTTCTGAAAAGCCTCAATTGCACAGTACTATTAATTGCATATTGTACAATGAAAATTCTTGGTATGCTTCAACAGTTATTTCACATGTGCCTCTTAAATACAAAAGATGTAAATTAGAATGTATTTGTCTCAGGTGTGAAATGAAACAAGAAATATTTCAAAAGCTTTGTTAAATTTCTAATGTGGGTAACCTCTGTTACGTTTATATTAACCCTCAGGAATATTATTTCCTCTATGTACACTGCCCTGGCTGTGAATGGCTTTCAAGAAACCATTCCAAATGCATTACTGGATAAATGGAGTTCTTTCCTATTAGCAAAAGCAGGGAGGAAATCAAAAGCCTGCTAAAACAAGTGACAATCTTAACTCTATGCCAACTGAAATTTTGTGAAAACAGAAAACTTCAGATGTGCTAAGTCTTACGAATAGATTAAACATCACGTCCTGGTTGCATTGATTTGATTTCAGTTAAATAAAAGCAGAAATATCAAGGCAGGGAGCTAATTTACCCGGTGCATTGCCTTTCTGGACAGTGCCCGTTCCCTTGCAAATGCTGAGCAGAGGTGGGGGTGCATGCAACTGCTGACCTACCTGTTCTCTGTGCCTCAAGGGCCTTTCAGATCATTGCAGCAGCGTGTCATAAATTGATACATGGTGTCACTGACAGATATTTGATATGCACTGTAACCTGGAAACCAAGTGGTAGCTGGGCTCTTATTTCATTCCTTGCAGGTTTTTTTTTTTCTTTTTTTTGTTCCAGCACTTCAGCAGCAAAAAATTCTGATTAAACATGGGGACTTCTTAATTGCGTGAGATACTTCTACAGACCAGTGCATATTCTGCGTGTCTGTTCTGAGTTTCAAGCCAGCAATAACAATAAACCTTCTTTTAAGTGATGTTAATTTCTTTCCCCTGTTGCATTTTGTAGCAGTCTGTTTTTATTTTCCAGGTTTAAAAAAAAAACAATTTCTGATCTCTGTGTTCAGAGTATATGTAGACATCCTTTAGTTTATGGTTGCGTATTTCTTTCTGTAATATTCCTGCTCATTACTTTTGAGTGATGGCTTAGTCAAAGAAGTTGCTATACATCATAAAATCCAGTTCATGTGCTTTGAGAGTCACCATGAGTTACCTAATTTGGTTTATTTTCGTTTAAGGAGAATACATAACAGACCATAAAATTGAGAGGAAAAATATCCATTAGTCATTATGACAAATAAGTTATTTAATGTGTAGTATAGAAAAGGCTTGGTTAAACCCTTATTCAGCTTGCTGGTGAAGTATGCATATTCTCCTTTTGGGAATTCATGTTTCATTGTTTCTTCATGCATCAGTAGTTTCCACAATTCTGGTTTTAAATTATAAATCCCTCTTTAAGAAATGCTCACCATTTTAAAAATCAATCATTGCACTCTTCTTTTAATGAAAATCTGAGCAGATGTATTAGTCTTCCATGTATATTGTTGAAGTGTCATGCACATAAATGGTAATACAAGTGTGTTCCATGTTTTGTTTCTAATTCCTTTATGTCTTAAGAATACATTTTAGTGATGCATCCTGCTGCTTGTAGGTCATACAGCTAGAAAGATACCCGGTCAACTGCATTCTTCATATTGTCAGTTGTAAAACTGAATTAGTTGCTGCATGCCCTTGTGAAGGGGAGGAAAAAAAAGGTTAAAAGTAGGGCTTGTAATTTCAAAATAAAGTAATGCAAGAATATATTTTCTAATATCACTTATTTAATGAATAAAAGATCTCTAAAATTGGATCTTATAGATTACATAGAAAATCAGTTAGTGTGTTCACTATTTGCTAGTAAAATCATGTTGTCATTCTGTCAATTTACATGAATTGAGTTTTTTGGACAAGTTTCCTGTTCTCCAAATAGTGCAGGTTACAAAAAAACCTGACTAGAAGCAATGACTGTTGGATGTAGAGTGTCTGTGACTAGAGCTAGAAAATGTAGTTTTATAGCTCTGTGAGCAGGTAGTTTATACGTACAACTCTCTTCTAATAAGAAATTGAGCAGAGTCAATGAGCTTTATAGGAAATACGGTTTTGTTCAATTTGCACACTGTTATAATTTCCTTTCTTGAAATAAATGTGTGGCAAATACATGTTTTTAATAAACAACTTGAATGTACAGTGTGATGAAAGAAACAAGTTTAAAAAAAACCCCAACAAAAAAGGGGAATTTCTTGAGCAACCAGAGATCAGTCATATTAGCCAGCCCTCATAAAGCAATAAGTACACACTAATTAAAGACTATCTGATCCTTCAAAGAGTAACTGAATAAATCTGTAACATATTTAACTGCCAATATTTGGAAATACTGCTGAGGGAGGAAAAAAATATTTCCAGTTGCATTATGTGGTTTTTTCCCCAATACTGTAGTAGCTTAAACTGTACTGTCTTTAGGTTGCATGAATAAAACAGGTTCTTAATATTCTACAAGACTTTCATACAAATAACATTTTTCTACCATTGTGTTTTTAATGGGGAGGGAGGAAAAAACATTTGAATATTTCCTGGTCTCAAATATAACAAGATACGAGCTTTTAATGTAAGTTGAATCTGATCTCATCCCTTTTTTTCTCCTTTTTTTTTTTTTTTGTTGTTAAATGTTGCTTATTCTGCATACCATAATAAGGAACAGATCTTACCTCCACTAAAGATTTGATAAATTCTCGATGCAGGTGAAGCAGTTCCAGGTTGGAGGGATTC